CTGTAATATACGATTTCATTTTTATCATTTGAACGTCCATCTTCTTCTTCCTCTTCTTCTTCTTGCTTAGGTCGCTGCGTCGGAGGATTACGGTCGTGACGTTGAACACGTCGAGCTGTTGATTCAGATATTTGACAATTTCTTAGCTGGTCTAACGACGAGCGAGAATCGAATTTCTGCGGTACTCGATGCAGGCCAGAAATTGATAGAACGTAACAATCCTGAAAAGGCTAGGATACATGGAAAAGTCGAAGAAACCAAACAGCAATGGGAAGATCTGAAGGAATTGGCACACGCGCGACAAGACGCGTTAGCGGGTGCTAAACAGGTTCACATGTTCGACAGGACGGCCGATGAAACGATCTCGTGGATTCAAGAGAAGGAGGCAGCTCTAAGTTCCGACGGATATGGCCACGATTTAGAGACTATTCAAGCTTTGGCCAGGAAACATCAGGGATTTGAGACCGATCTGGGGGCGGTAAAAGAACAGGTAGATCGGAGCTTTTAATTTACTTCATCTATCTTTCTCCTATCTTTCATCTATCTTACTTAATTTATCTGGGATCGTCGACGGGGTTTACAAATTTTTTTGTATATTTTATTCAGGTCGAATCTTTGATGGAGGAAGCATTGCGCTTGATCGAATTATTCCCAGATGCACGTATACACATTGATGTGAAGCACCAAGAAGCCGAAGCAACTTGGAATGAACTATTGGAAAAGGCTGCCCAAAGGCGAAGCAAATTGGCACAGGCAGAACAATTGCAAACGTATTTGGGCGAATACAGGGACTTGCTGTCGTGGATAAACGAAATGGTGGCTAAGGTTACCGCACCGGAATTGGCGCGAGACGTTCCAGGAGCCGAAGCTCTAATTTCCCGACACAACGAATATAAAACCGAGATTGACACGCGAAAGGAAGCTTTTGAAAAGTTCTACAAAACTGGCCAAGAGCTCATTGAGCAGGGCCACTTTTTGGGAAAAGAAATCGAAGAAAAAATATCCGTATTGCGTTTAAGAAAACAAATACTTTTGGATACTTGGGAACAAAGGAAACTCATATACGAGCAAAATCTGGACACGCAATTGTTCAAACGTGAAGCAGAAACTTTGGAAAATTGGATCGTTAGTAGGGAACCAATGTTGCACGATGGTAAATTGGGCGAGAGCATTCCACAAGTGGAGGAGCTTATAAGAAAACACGAGGACTTTGAGAAGACCATAGAAGCTCAGGAGGAAAGATTCAACGCGTTAAATCGTATAACAATGGTAATCGATTGATATGTGATGATATATTCTATATATAAAAAATGAAGAATATCTTTAAATTAATTCCTTATACTCGTTTACTCCCGTAGCTCGAGAAAGCGTTCCGAAAGCAACAAGAAGCGGAGATGGCCGCGAGACAAGCTGAGAAAGAACGAATCGAACGTGCGCGGATCGAGGAACGAAAACGTAAAGAAGTACAAAGGATAACCGAGGAACGAAAACGGGAGGAGGAAAGAAGAAGATTATTGGATAGCCCTCATCATCGGGCTTCGCACGATGAAGTCAATGGGACGGTCGACGAGCATGAGTCCGTCAACAGGTAAAAAATTATTATTAACGACGATATATTATTTCAAATAGAAAACAACTGTCTGCCCTCTTACCGATGTGTCATACCTCTCCCGTATTCCAGATTGGCGCCGTTAAAAGGTGCCACTCCGGTCGAAGTTTCGGAGCAGCCTACTCTGATTCAAAAAACGCACGGTATACCTCATGTATTTGGTGATAAATTGAGACGAAGTACGCATTCCTTCTATCCAATGTTATTAATCATATTTTATAAAGAATTTATTAACCGACGATATGTCTTTCCTCTCCTTGCAATAGGTAATGCGGATATAAAAAGAGCGGAAAGTATGAAAGTTGATACGAAAAAACCGAAACGTACACCGAGCTTCACGACTAGACGAAGGACCCAAAGCTTTAGGAAACTCCAAAGGATGGAAAACATGGACGCTTTACCGCCCGTAGAGATCCAAGGTCTTCTCGAAAGGAAACACGAATTACAAAGCGCTGGAAAGAAAGCCGCCGTTCGTTCTTGGAAGCAATATTACACCGGTGATTAAAGTTTTTCGATCGTTTAATTATCATCTCACCATATGATAATAAATGATAACAACGTCGATAGGAGGATATATAATGGAAATGTATGAATGATATAATTTCAGTACTATGCGGACAACTATTGTGCTTCTTCAAAGACATAGAAGATTTCTCTCTTAGCAAGGCAGCCACCGCGCCAATTACCATTTTTAATGCGATATGCGAGAAAGCGGATGATTATACGAAAAAAAAGAATGTATTCCGCTTGAAATGTACGGATGGTTCGGAATTTTTATTCTTAGCCCCAAATCAACAAGAGATGGAAGATTGGGTCAATAAGATATCATTCCATGCTAAATTGCCGCCAAGCTTGCAACTTTTAAGCTATGACGATTCTCAAAAGGTACGATGAGATGCACTTGTAATCATTTTCAAGACAATATGAATCATTCTTAATATGAATAAACATAAAATATACATGTATTCCTTTAGGAGGGTTTAGAGAGGCTACATAGCGCACCATCGGATCATCAAGATGATAATATGTCGACCGGAAGTAGTCGTACATCAACGCCCGAAATGGAACGCAAAAATTCAGTGATCAGATGCGACGTCGTTTCCAATCAACGCTCACCGAGCACAGTGCAAATAGAATTTTTACAGCAGCATCGACAAAATCAACAACGCCGTGATCCGCATAATGCAGAATTATTCTTAGCCTCGGAAAGATCGGAGCCACCTCAAACGCAAACAGAATTTTTGCAAATGCACAGGCAACAGCAATTACTCGCGCAACAACAGCAACAGCAGCTAATTCAACAGGAACAACTTGCAAGTCAAAGAGATCAATATCAACAAAATTCAAACGATAAACCTCCCATACCGCCAAGAGGAGCACCCCCGCCAATTCCTTTGCGATCACCAAGTTCCGAAAATATGGTTCAATTTCGAAGAAATGGTAAGATCATCTATGCTTCTCGTACGTTTTTACATTTATCGAAAGAAATGTTTTTTACAATTTTTCGATATTTTTCGACTCCCATACATAATATGCGATAAAACGATACTACAGATTCGGAACACCATCTACAACAAGGAAGACCACAATCGTATCAACAACGCAGTACAACCTTAAATCATAATGGATCTAGCCAATATCCGACAAACGAAGTTTGGCATAGACAAAGTACTGTAGACATGAATACGCAACACCCAGGTACGTCTTAGCTTTTTTCTTTGAACAATTAAACGTCCAACGTCTCCTCGGTTTGATCGATTTGCACCGAAAGCAACATATGACATTTCGTGGTTTTATAGAATTAGCACCTCCCCTGCCATCGAGTGCCCCTCCACCTACCGGAATGGCTCACTGGAATATACCCCATGACCCTGGTCAGTCATTACAGCCATTTTCATACAAATTTCGTACCGAATGTAAGAAACATCTTACATATAATCATACTATTCTTCTGCATGTGCAACTCTGCATCTTCACTCTAATCTCCTACCTCTTCTTCCGCTCGTACCTTATTTAATCTAAAGTTGGATTTGTAATAAATCCATGCTATTTGTAATAAACAATGGAATTAATAATCGACTTTTTCATATTTATATCTATATATCTATATAGATATAAATTGTGAAATATAAAAATTAATTTATTTTATTTTTGTTCACAGCATATGGGAATGCACCGATAAATGTTAGACAGGTAAAATATTAAATAATCGTGTTCATGTCGTATAATTTTTTATATTGTAGATAAACATTTCAATAATTTACTTTGGCTTTTAGACTTCACAGCAACAAAATAATTCATTTAGTACCAGACCAGCCTCTTTACCTCCGTACGTAGCTCCACCAGCAGTACCGCAGAATGTTGTTCAAAACGTTACACTTGTAGATGGTAGAAGACCATCCGAAAGTGGTTCAGAAAGTGAAAATAGTATAAGTGGTAGTAGAAAAGATCGTGATTATAAACGAAGTTCCGTTTTAAGCAACTTATTTGGCAGGAGAAAGAAACCATCTCAGTCGTAATTTATATACAGGGATCTCTATTTTTGTAGGGTACTTAAATATAAAAAAAGAAAGATTCCGCAAAAGGATATAGCCCTTGACATTATTAAATTCTTCAAAAACAGACAAAACAAGAAACAATTATCTATGCCCTGTTATATAATACGTATTCTAAAATCTGTAAATTATATTTTTACGTGTATAATACAATATTTTTCATTAAAATATATACAGGAATTAATATATTCAGACACGGCTAGATATAGATGAGAAGAGAAAAAAAGAAAAAAATTAAAAACAACGCAAAACTGATATAAAGTTGTTTCGTATATCGTATAAAAAAAGAAAATAATAATAATAATAAAATAAAATAAAATAAAGTAATAATAATAAAGCAAATTAAATGCTTAATACTGCAAGTAATTATATTTTGCCACACAGACATATTCTTTGTTTTAAAATATCAGGATTTTTTAATTCAATTCTAATTATAATTGTGACTTTTAGTTTTGTTAAAAAATGACTAACATCCCCCATCCCCCGCATAAATTGATATAAATGGAATACTTCTGTTTTTCCTTTTATATTGAAAAAATAACCAATCTATAGAAAAATGGTCATTACCACGTTATTTGAAATGTACCTGACCTTAAAGGTAAAGATATAAAATATATATCAGCAAGAGCATTCAAATGCAAAAACAACTATATATAAAAAAAAAAAGAAAAAAAAGAAAAAAAAAAAAAAGAAAAAAAACTGTAGATTTCATAATATATATTGCAAATATTATATATTGTATACCAACTCCTATTCAGGACCAATGATCTTATTGTATTATGCGCAAAGAAGATATATTGATATATAATGTTTTTGAAAAATTGTTATATCTGTATGTTTAACAATCATCCTCATGATTGACGCAGTATAATAGTATGTAAAGTATATTTAATATCATATAAGAAATAAATAATTATTTACTAGTTACATACATAATGTTACAGTGCTGTTTTGCATGTAATTATATAGAACAAAGATCAAAATATAATGTTATAATAAGATTAATTAGATTCTTTTGTTCACTACTACCGCTGTCGCTAACTATAGTATACCGTAATAATAGTAGTAGTGTGGGCTATCACGTTCACTTGATAACCTCTCTCTCTATGTGGAATTTTGGAAGGTTTTATGATTTAAGGCCGTTCGCTCGCTATCTTTTGTTCGAAGCGTGTGTGACTTCAGCGACAAGTATGGACAAAATATGAACTACGAATACAAGCGAGGAACGCTGTCCCTTCGTCATGCATCTATCGCATCGGTGTATAAGCTTGTATCGTTTATTTCCCTCTCACGCGTACATAACAATTGCTTTCGTGTGAATTTCATAGAAAAAAATGAAAGTTTTCGTATGTATACTTTCTTTAATGGTATAGAGTGCGTCTCGCTGTGATCCGTGCTAGATACGACGTCAGTACGCATTTGTTTCACGATAAAGAATAATAAATATAATTAACACGTATGATAATTGATATATAAATTTGCGGATTTAACGAAATTAGTTTTTCTATATCATATCTATTTACTTGTACAAGCATTATCGGCAATGTAAAGTTTCAGTACTTTATCGTTTAGTCAGAATTAAATTGAAAGAATTTTGAAAATACATTGAAGAAATATGCAAGCATTTGCTCGGTAGTACTTGCGTTGCTGCGTAGTACTATTGTTTAAATATTAGTTTATTGTAATTCGTGTACATTAGAGACTTTAGAAATGATTATCGAAAGTATTAATTTATAAGTTTTTACATTTATAAGGGGATAGTCACGCGTCGAAATACAAGAGAAAACTATATCTTGGACTAATCGTCAAAGTTAATGAAAAGATCGTATGTGTCGATATTAAAGAAGGCCAAGAAATCTCGTGACGAAAATTTTTAACTATTGAAATTATTTTAAGTTTTTAACAATCTAAGTGACATTGGACAAGAAAGTCTTTTTTTTGCCATAGAATCATCTGTCCAAAGAGTGACCGCAGCTTTTCCATGCGAGCATTGTAAGACGCATTTCTTGAAGCGTCAGTTATTTACGTACGCTTCATCGAAAATCAGTAGTAGGGTTATGAGCTTCTTCTCTTTTGCCGCAAATTTCGAGAGAGCGTTGCACTATACAACTTTTTCTACACGAAAAATGTCAAAAACAAAATTTAAACATTTGATCGGGCGTTTTATTCTTGACCCATTTTTATGGGCAAAGTCTAATTTTAAAAACGAAGGTTTTTGAACGAGAACATGGCCTTTTGAAATTGTTGGAAAAACTTCATTTTCGTACATAAACCATTTTTAGGAAGAAATGCAATTTTTGTTGACCGATTCACATTTATTGTATGATCTTCCTTTATGTGGCATATAAGTTTTTCATCCTGTTTTCCAGATGTATTAATACTTTTACTACGTACAAAAAAATTTCTGTCACACGCTAATTCGATTGTCGAATTACCCGGGAGAGGGGACTATGATCTAAAGCTTGCTTGTAAACCGATTCAATAAGCGATTTAATGATAACAGTGCTTACCTATCCGCCCTTCTAGTTGATATTTCATCCATGTCTGTCGCAGAAGTCGCATGTGCGAAAAGTGATAAACCGACTTTAGTTGTCGTCAAGCGAAACTGAAAATTTTCTATAATTTCTTCTGTCATAGATTCTATAAATTATATTTATTTATTGAATTTATGAAAATACCAATATGTGCGACGGTAAGTCGAATACTGCGTTATACTTTTATATTTTATCAAGATTATACAATAAATTTCTTTCCATTCGTTAAATAAAATGCAAATTAGTAGGTAAATAAATACATAAGAGACTTGCAATGCAATAGTGTAGTTCAAATAATGTAACAATTAAGTAATGTAAAAAAAAAAAAGAAAATATTTGTGAGTACTATAAGTAATAACCTATAAATATAGTCGTATTTACACTCGAGTTTTATACCTAAACATTCATTTTTTAGAAGATGTAATACGCAGAAGATTACTCATAGATGGGGATGGTACTGGAGATGACCGTCGAATAAATATGTTGTTAAAGTCATTTATAAAATGGATAAACAGTCCTGACGCCGACAACACATTACACGAGAGAATGCTGTCGCAACTTGCCCAGTGTGAATTTGCGCAGAGAAAATCTAGGCTGGTTTCAAACATGAGCCAAGAAGAATTGAAGAGTTATAGTAATTTATCGAATGAAATCGAAATACAAATAGAAGAAGCCAAAAAAGAAATAGAAAAGACAAAAGTAGAATTGCACGAAGCTAAACGTGTAAGAAAAAATAGAATAGAGTATGACGTATTGGCAAAGGTTATTAACGAACAACCGGATAGATTGGAAACCAATGAGAAACTTGCTACGCTACGTCAAGAATTGGGAAATCTGAAGGTAATGAAACAATGAATTTTATTAAGAAACTTCTTAACACTCACGGGCACACACGCACACACACACACACGCACACACACACACACACACACATACACAAGCGCGCGCACGCGCATACGAAGAGACGATATAAGTTAATTTTTTAATAAAGGAAAAATCTGAACAATTGGAGCACAAATTAGAAATGCGAAGAAAACAGTTTCACGTTCTGATATCCTCTATACATTCTTTGCAAGGAATGTTAGACGAATGCGACGAAGAAATAATGGATATTAGTTTAGAAAATTATGAAGATACCGATACAACTTCTATGGAAATGTCGTAAGGATTAACATTTTATGCGTAACCACAAAATATAGAACATTCAATATTAACCAATTTTTAATTTCAGTTTACTAGTTTTAGGTACATGTCTGATAGTTAAGGATAATCTTGTACCTCTTTCTAATACCTGCCCTTCGTTATATTCTAACGCGCACATATTCATATTTTTGATTATTCCCTTTGAAATAGTATCGGTACAAGTTTCCGCAATAGCATGTAAATAATCATTATACAGGTCTCCTCTCAAAATCAAAAGACTTCTACGTTCTAACAACAAACTGAACTCCAATTTAAGTTGTTGCGGCTAAAAAAGAAAAATATACGTACATGTATGTATACATGCACGCATAGTATGTATTAGCAATATTATATTTCGCAAACTTTAACGATCATATACCTCCATAATATCGTTACGTTTGTAGAAATCTAGAAGAGTATGAGAACCGCAACTGATGGTGGTTACAATTGGATAAAAAAGTGGACCATCCGAGTGTGCCTGTTAAAAATTCAAATTTCTAAAAATATGATCTATAAATGTTCGTCTGGATAAGATGAATGATATTCAATTGGTTGTACGCGCATATAATTACTTCATACATACCATTATTCCTTGCGAAGGCAAATACTCATTGATTAATACATGATTGGGTGGCTTATCTCGTTCGAAAACATTTAAAGAAGTTATTTTATCAATGTAAATTCGAAGCCACTGAAAATTTATTATTGTACATAATATTTTTTTCTTTTTTTTTTTTTTTTTACTTGCAATAACATTACTCACGCTTGGTATTTCCTCCGCTATCATCCCTTTGGGATGGGGTATACCGCCCCAATTTTGTAATCTTCTGTAACTTAATTGAGTCCACTTTGGAAGGGGAACAGCATTTATATGTTTTATTATTTGTTCTTCTTCCTCTTTAGTTATAAAATTTGGTATGTATTGTGCCATCTCTGGAATCTAGGTTTTTATATCTGTATTTTAAGAACTGTCGACATAATCTTTATTCCTCGATTTACCTCGATGAATAATAATGGACACAAACCTCTTTAACCGTGTTCTCTAAGAAAACACGCTTTTCCATACTCGCCATTTGGATAACTCTTTAATGTTAAAAATAACGATTTATTAAGAAATATATTTCAAATGATAACGAATCGATCGGAATGATAAACCAATCAATATTACTTTAGGAATATAACTGGACGATCCAATCGGTATCCGGTCTCGAGCGAATGATTATCGAATGCAAGCTAATCGAAGAGAGTTTACAACTCCGTCGTCAGAGAGCGTACGTGTCGAAAAAAAAAAGATCATTTATTCGTAAATTCAACATACGTTATAGAACATTTGTATAAGTTAAAAGAGAGAAGAAAGTGTTCTTTAACATTTCAAACATTTTGAGAATATTCTCTGTAATCCGCGTTTATCGAAGGATCTGATGATACAAATATTGTTATATAATTCAATTGTCGTTTTAATTTTCTTTTTTTTTCTCCCCCTCCCCCCCTATTTAAAATGATCGAGCAACGTGTTAATCCTTTTCCAATTGCGTGATATTTTTAATGAAATCTATAAATTGATGAACTCTGGTATAAACATCGGGCGAACCCACTGCACACGGCTTGGTCCAAGAAAATACACCGACAAGTTGATTATTGTAAGTTAGGGGACTGCCGCTATCGCCCTGATAAAGAAAAAGAAAAAAAAAAAAAAGAAAAGGAAAGATATATCCATATATAGTAATATTGTAGTTATAAAGATCGGCGATTACCTTACAGGCGCCAACTCCCTCATGTTCTAAAGTACACAGGTGAGATGGTAAAATGGTATTATTGTAATACGTTTGACAATCTTCGTTGGTTATAGTGGTGAGAGTAACTTTTTGTAGAATATCCGACAATGGACCGAACGAATGATGTCTACCCCAACCGGTTAAGATTACCGATATGTTTTCTGGCGCGTCCGAAACTGGCAGGTCAATAAGATTTTGTGCAGAATTCAAAGTTACGTTGTCGCTCAACTGCAAAAGGAAATATTTCAAATATGTTAATTCGCCATAGTCGTTGACACGCAAGGCACCCTCAGGAAGAGGTTGCTTTTTTTTCGAAGATGCCTCACCGTGATTATCACCAAATCGTGGGTCCACGAGCCTTTCGCCCCAAAAACGTAATCGGGATGACAATGGATGCTTTTAACTCGTTGAAACTGACCGCCTTTTTTAACGCTCCTCGTACCAGTTACCACCGACAGATCGTCGTAAGGCTCGTCGAAAAGTTCGCATACGCAATGTGCAGCACTCAAGACGTGTCTTTCGCTTATCAAGGCACCTCCACAAATGTGCACGGTATCCGAGTAACGTAAAGAAACTTGAAAGGGAAACTCGTTCGAGCCGCTGTCTTCTCCTCCTACTATTCTTTTGAGGCGCGGACCGCGAGTCTCTAAATCATTTCAATAGATAGATAGAGCAATTCTTTTTTCTATTCGTCATTGTTATGGATCATTGGGAAAAAAAAAAATCGCGAGAGCATACGCATTTATTTTTCCTTACCTCGGCCGATAGCTGCCGACACCGACGCGACTATCAAAAATAAAACTGTAATATTGCAAATCGTCATGTCGCGTCTAAAGTTACTAAATTTTCATAGAGTAAAATGTAATACGATTTTTTCGCGTCCTTCGATTACACCTGTCTTTACTCACGATTCTATTATGTAAATAATATCACGCTAGGCAATCGAGCTTACGTCTTCCGATGATTTACTAAAATGGAGCGATGGCGATATCATCTGGTATTTGCTTACTTGACAAATATAAATAAAGATTCGAAAGAATTTTACTGGTATTACTTTACGTATATGTACTATATCTTTGACCCAATGGCGAATTAGAGGAACGAACCAACGAATTCTTAAATTTGGTCTTATTCGAAAGTATTTCAAAAGCTGGAATAAAATTGAGAAATAACTCACGTTATTATTATAACTTTACGGATAGTTCGCGTAATCGTTCACGTTTTTCGTAAAGTTGAATTATTTATTTGGCGCGAGTCAATATACATACTGTATAAAATAGGAATGTGATTCTTTCTTAGATAGAGATGAGTAAATGTTGGACATTGTTTATTTCTCGAGGGTGTAGGTCGTTTGTCTATAGTTTAGTGGGGAAAATTGATGCGCACACGTATAAACACTTTCCTCCTCCTCCTCCACCTGCTCCTCCTCCTCTTACGAAGCACGTACGAAGAAGTAGCGCGCGCGCGCGCCCGCGCAGAGTCACATACGTATTACCTGGTATATCCAAGCGAAAGACGCACGATGGCCAGCGAAACGGTACGTTTAGACGATCGCGCTTTCGATTGATTTCGTTCGTGTTGTCGTCGTCGTCGTCGTCGTCGTCGTCGTCGTCGTCGTCGTCGTCGTTGCCGCCACCGCCGCCGTTGTCGTCGTCGTCGTCGTCGTCGTCGTCGCCGCCGTCGCCGTCGTCGTCGCCGTCGTCGTCGTCGTCGTCGACGCCGTCATCGTCGTCGACGCCGTCATCTTCGTAGCGTACGATAGAAGCGATAACATAGAACGATTAAAAACGGTCGGCAATAGGAAAGTGCTTTGACAGAGCGCCGTGAAAGAAAAATTGGTTGTTGCTTACGCACCAGCTATGTCGTAAATTTTGACCAGTTCGATGGATAGGATATGTGACTTCCATTGTAAGTACCAGGAAAGGTGCGAGGATCGATCTTAATTCACTTAACCGATCATCCCCGATCGACGTTTGCGACGATGTTTTACCACAGAGACGTCGATCGCTCCGTTGCAAAAATGGCCTATCGTTACAACAAATCCGTCGTGTTGTGTTTGAGGTTATATTATCCATTTTAGTAAAATTTTTGGCTGCACCCATCGTGTAAAACATTATTTATATCTTTTATCTTAGAATTGTCTTCTTTTGTTCTCTTTCTCGACACGCTTTGAAAATGCATGTAAACAAGTAAATCAATTTCACTTTCAGAGTGAAGTATAGCAAATGGAAGGTTTTAAGGTGAAAGATGAACCGATGGATGCATTAGCCATAGACAGTCAGGTTATGGTAAACATTTTGCATGAAACTGCAACACGATACGATTCGATGATACCGCGCGAAATTTAATAGAAACATTGCTTTAAGGACGAAAATATTGTAAGCGTCGTACTTAAAGAGGAACCTGGAGATAGATTCGATCCGGACTACATGGAGGATATATGCTCTGGTACTTTCGAGAAGGTATTTTTACCTATCGAAAACAGTGAAGTGGATTTTTCCAATGAGATGGTAACCGGATTAACTTTGAGACGTAACAATTATATATATATATATATATATATATATATATATATATATATATACATATATATATGTTTAGAGGCAAACCTTGCCAGTTAACGGATTAAGATATTGTTGAATGTCTTTATCGTTGATAGGTAAAACTCGAGTTGGAAGGAGAAACGAGCGGACATCCAAATTGGACGGCACAGATCACGGCTACTAATCTTTGCGAGAAAGAAGATGGCATACCGCATAGGTGTTTAAGTGCAGCGGACTTTATGCAAGCTCAAGACGTTGAAAAACATCCTGTATTTTGTGCTAACGGACAGCAGCCCAAATTTTATAAGATTCAATGTTCCATCTGCAAGAAATGGTTTCTTAACAACGATTCTATGGTCACGCATTTGAGAATGCATTGTAACGGGAATCAGTGCGAGGTTTGTCAGCAAAACTTTCAAGACAGTTCCAGCTTGCATGCGCATATGTTAACACACGTCGGTATGAGTCCACTGGAGTGCAATGTTTGTCAGAAGAGATTTGCTTATAAGTGGTGCTTAAGAAATCATATGCAAATGCATTCGATAGATAAACCATATGACTGTGATGCTTTGCAACAGGGATTTATGAAAAAGCCTGAAGGTAACGACGAGCAGTCGTTGAATACAGGAGAAAGACCCTTCGAGTGTGACGTATGCCACGCTACGTTCCGAGAAAAAGGAAATTTGAATCGACACATGCTGATTCACACCGGTGAGAGGCCCTACAAATGCGAGATATGCTATGCGGCGTTCAGGGAGAAGGCTAAATTAAATATTCATATGCCCATTCACACGGGCATGAAGCAGTTCAAATGTACCATGTGTCATAGATCGTTCGCCCAAAAAACTGCTCTGAACAATCATATGCTGGCGCATAGCGGGGAAAAGCCGCACGCCTGTAATATTTGTGAGAAAACGTACAAGAGGAAATCGGAATTGATCAGGCATACGATGGTCCATACCGGCGAACGACCGTACGAATGTAAAGAGTGCCTAATGACGTTTAGGGAAAAGGCTAAGCTAAATTCTCATATGTTGGTTCACACCGGCGAGAAACCCCACGAATGTCATATATGCCACAAAGCGTGTGCGCGTAAGTCCGATTTGAACAGTCACATGTTATTACATACCGGCGGGCAATACGATTGCAAGGTTTGCGATAAAATTTTCACGCGAAAGTCCGATCTTAATAGACACACTTTGATACATACGGGCGAAAAGCCATTTGCCTGCGATCTCTGCGACATGGCGTTCAGAGAAAAAACGAGATTAAATTCTCATATGCTGATACATACCGGTGATAAAAGGCACGCATGCCATATTTGTCAGAAAACGTTTAAAGAAAAGTCGTCGTTGAGAAAGCACATGTTAAGTCATACGGGCGATAGACCCTACGAATGTTACGTATGTCACAAGGCGTTTACGCAAAAAACTACTTTGAACAGTCACATTTTGATACACGCCGGGGAAAGGCCTTACGAGTGCAGTACTTGTCAGAAAATTTTTAAGGACAAAGCTGCGTTGAAGAGCATTTATCGATGCATATCAATGAAAAAAATCACGAATGTTTGATTTGCTTAAAAAAATTTAGTCATAAGGCCGCATTGAACAGTCACCTGTCGACCAATCATACATCTTAATCCGTGAAGATCTAGTCCGATTTTTCTTTACATCGAGCGCGCATCGTATGCTTCTATGCACCGTGCCCACCACGGTCTCGTACAAAAAGACATTACGTACTTTATTACTTTCTCTCGCACACTATTTTTTTTTTTTTCCCCTTGTATTTACCGTGCAGAAATAAATTCATTTTCAAATTATTTTTATATCCGCTACATTGGACATCCGTAATGGAGAATTTAATGGACGAACGATGTGTCCTTTTCGTTTCCTTTAAATATATATCATTTGAATATTTTATCATCAATTGACTTTTATTGCAATGCGTAATGCGAGATGTAGGGATGTCGCGAGATCTTTACTTGGATACAATTTAATTACAATCCATCGATTTATAAGGAACAATTATTATTCCGATGTGATGTGTATTGAATGATAAAAGAAAACGTAAAAGAGTACAATGAAATGTATATTCTATGTAAAGTTCAAAATAATGAGTATGCAAATTACGAGGGGGTCAATAATATTACAATTATCGTGCGAATATGATATTTGTCGGGAATATGTCGAGGAACCTTTTTTCTTTTCTTTTCTTTTCTTTTCTTTTCTTTTTTTTTCTTTTTCTTTTTCTTTTTTTTTTTCTTTTCTTTTCTTTTTCACGCGCCCTTTCTAGCATAGTCATATTATGCTATCGAGTTTTATTATACCATATTGAATATTTGACTGTGATGTTGAGCCATCCTTGCTCGATGGTCCTTTAAGAATGAAAATCGAAACGATTACGACGAAAGATTTTCCTTTTACGAAACACGATACATATATCCGAATGGAGTAATATCTTTATATGAAGAAGAAAGTAAAAGAAAAGAAAAAATAAGAGACTGTGGCAAAAATATTATACTTTACTCATTCCTTCGTTCTGTACACGATAAATATAATATAAATATAAGTGTTGATAACTGTATAAGAGATAGTTTTATCAACATCATACATTTTATAAACTTAACTAATAGAACGGAGCGAACGATGCGTGAATTAAGTTGTAAAGAGGATCAAAGAAAGTATATTATACGAAATATTACGATACAAAATATTACTTGATAATTGTCATGTACGCTTCTCTTTTTGAAACATTATTATTTCTAATGTACCTTCGATATCTGACGAATTAATCGTTATTTACGTGAGTTTAACGGACGTTCGATTGTTTACTTAATGAGCTCGTTAATAAGCACATTATCATCTGGGCAAGGATCATTTTCATAAACGAATGTACGCGATTAGATTCTATTTCAAGGAACGAACGTGTTCCTTTGAAATGTTAATTTACAAATGTCCCATTCTTCTTTGATTAATAATTGTCTATTAATTTGTCGCGCGTAAATGATCGACAGATTTTCTTCGAGATTGTTTTTTTATTATTGCTATTTCCTCTCTTTAAACTTTCATATCTAGATGGCACTGTAAGACAGTCTTTGGGTAGCATCCTAACAGTGCACTCGATAATTACGTACTCGTACAGTAAAATACAGTCAGTCCTGGTTGTTCGTTAGGGCGAACGACGGCATCGAGGAGGAATGAATCAAAGTGAGAGTCAACGAATAACCGAGTATTTCTCTTATAAGAAAATATCTAACGTAACGTAGACGGGGCATCTCTCCCTTCCTCCCTCTCTCTCTCTCTCTCTCTCTCTCTCTCTCTCTCTCTCTTTTGTTTAGCCCACCGAATCGTGTACAACGCTTCGAGAAATTTCAAGACAAAAGAAGCGTTTGAATAATGGAGAAATTTGGACTCTTCCATGTCGCGGTTTAATCACATAGAAAGACGTCTGTTTCGCGCCGATGAGAGAGAGAGAGAGAGAGAAAGGACAGATGCATCATTTTAATTCGAATTGGTTTTCGGATAGACTGCACGACAAGCAGCCAATCAATCTTATCTCACGAGATACATATATATAAAATATTTTCTCTTTTACTCTTTTGATCGGTCTCGATCGTTTTTTTTTTTTATAAAGAAAGAAAGAAAGAATTCTATCGATTCGATTTCGAAGGTGTATTTTCGGATCCGGGGTGGGGTGGGGAACAAGACATTTACATTAATGTATGTACATAATGGCGATTCTTTCTTATCTAACTGCATTAACTGCATTAATCCACTTCACCTATGTCGCCTGCACCAGAAGACGTACGAGCAAATTTTGAAAATGGTACGGAGTAACGGAATTCTCAGTGAAGTTTTAGGAAATGCGCGACACAAACGTGTTCTATTAAGAGAATAAAGGAAAATCGTCGAAGTAAGTTTCAAGAATTTCGTTTCCTATTTTTTTCCTTCGTTTTCTCCCACCGGTTTCCATAAAGAACGACGATGCGTATTCAAACCGTCGCCGGTGGTCTTTGTTTTCAAACGAAAAAGAGGATCAAATATAAAAAAAGCATTAACACTCAAGAAATATTTATCGACTCTTATTTTAGCGCTTCATACACTTTTCGTCTTTCGACGAAAAAGCTCAAGTAAATTCTAACGAGTGAAAATATAACGATGAAAAAAGTGTATCTCGAGTTAGCGCCAATGTTTAATCGTTTAATATCAGATATTTCTTTGATTAATATATTCCGTGAGTTTATTAGCAATGCGATATCAAGCTCGTACGTGGTTTTGTCCGCAAATAATTTTACTCCTTTTTCACACTTTTTTTTTTACATTTCTCGAGACATTTGAAACCGTATCTCCTTACTTCTTATTTGCAGATACGGAAGATAGTAAGACGATTATCGAAGAAAATTTATTAAAATATTAAGAATAGTCACGTTCGTATTGAATGAACGTGCTGATTAATTTATAATATGATATACGTGGATTTTTTTTTTTTTTTTAATAAATACTTTTCTTATTAACGGTCTTATATTCTACATCTTACGTATCATTATAAGAGGGCCATTTAATAAAGATTAAATCTATAGAAATCATTAACGTCGTTACGCATTTAATTGTGAAAATACAACTTTATATTATTTCTCATTTGTATAGATTCTCAATGTACATTTGCGAATTGCTTTGCAACGTGTTAAAAGACGAAATGTTGACTAATGCACGAGAAGAAAACAAAAAGAGAGAGAGAGAGGGAAAGGATTAATGGTCGTGATAGAAAGGAGAGGTACAAAGTAACTTCCACTCCTCTTTCTATTCCATCTCTACCTCCTCCTCCTTCTTCCATAGTAACATTACTTTTCTTATTGTCCACATGAAAAATGCAATATCTGTCTTTGCTACGACCGGTATCATGTCGTATAGCTAACGTCATTCATTTTTTTAGCTAAAGTTAAATTTAACGGAGAGCAGCAGCAGGAGTAGTGAATCAATGTAGTAACATACGAATATCGCAAATGACTGAGAAAAAAGGTAAAATAAGAATCGAAAAAAATGGAGGGAAGGAAAGATCAAACTGTTAAAAAATATGAGGAGTAGTAGCTTAAAAGAGGAAGAAAGTCAAGCTCTGAGAGAAAGCTGCAGTGATTTAGTTGCGATTCGTAGATGCAAAAGATAGTAAGACGATTATCGAGGAAAATTTATTAAAATATTAAGAACAGTCACGTACTTATCGAATGAACGTGTTGTTTAATTTATAATATAATATACGTGGAAATTTTTTTTTCTTTTTTCTTTTTTATTTTTTTATTTTTAATAATAATAAAGATATACTTTTCTTATTAACGGTTTTATATTCTACGTCTTACGTATCATTATAAGAGATCCATTCAATAGATATTAAATCTATAGAAATTATTAGCGTCGTTACGCGTTAACGCGTTTAATTGTGAAAATACGACTTTATATTATTTCTCATTTGTGTACATTCTCAGTGTACATTTGCGAATTGCTTTGTATCGTGTTAAAATACGAAATGTTGACTAATGCACGAGAAGAAAACAAAGAGAGGGAGATAGAGGTGGGGGGAGGGTGAGAGAGAGAGAGAGAGGGGGGGGGGAAGATTTAATGATCGTGATAGAAAGGAGAGGTACAAAGTACCCACTCCTCTTCCTATTCCACCTCCACCTTTTCCTTCTTTCATAGTAATATTACTTTTCGTACTGTCCACCTGAAAAATACAAAGTCTGTCTTCGTTGCAAGCGGTATCATGTCGTATAGCTATCTCCGTTAATTTCTTTAGTTGGAACTAAATTTAAAAGAGAGTAGTGAGCCAGCATAATAATATATATATATATAATAATATCGCAAACGATTGGAAAAAAAAGAACAAACAAGATAAAATAAGAATTTTGAAACTTGTGGAGGGAAGGGAAGATCAAACTGTTAAAAAATACGAGGAGTAGTAGCTCGAAAGAGGAAGAAAGCCAAGCTGTGAGAGAAAGCTGCGGTGGTTTAGCTGTGATTGCACTTCTCCTTACGACTGCGCGGATACGTGAGCGCGTATCACTTTCGCGGGAGCTCGAATAAGGTTAGTGAAACTTTTGATTTAATTCGACGAGACAGTTTGACGAGATAGACGACACGAGAAGAATGTTATTTTTTTGCAAACTTTAGCAGCAAATACTTTTGTTATCTTTACGATTTTCATTCTTTATCACAGTATACTCGTTTCATTGGCCTCCCCTAGAGATTGGGTCTCTTTTATGGATTAACTATAAAAAGTAATTCGATTTCCCGCATATTCTGCGAATTAGCCTGAGTTTTACCTAAATCGATTTAACGGTTAACGATTTTAATCGAATGTGCCTATTTAATAAAAGGATAGAGTTTTAAGGATCAACGAAACACGTGTCTTTCATAATAGATTGCCGCGTAATTGTTTGCGATTCATGTTCGTTTGTTATGACGGTCGTATAAAATATATCTACATATCCCGAAGTAAGCGGTAATCGAGCGACCGCGTAAAATCAACAACGGCGCACCATCGAACGTACTCACCCCTTATCGTTTTTTCTTATCGTTTTTTATCGTTGTCTTTTCACCTCTTATTATGTAAAATCTTTCATTAAGAAGACGCTATCTATTATTTCCATTATGTACAAATTGGGGTTCGTGAGTTGCCTTTTACTAAAAGTGCCGCCGTTCAATGTTCCGCATATCGTATGTATAGCTAAGTTCGTACATACGTAGGTGGAACTACGTCGGGAGAAATGAGCGAATCGAAAGAGCGAGAAATGTTCAAGACCTTGACATCTGTCCAAAGATTCGGAGAAGCGACTTCTTCCTTTGTTCGCTGAAATCCCATCGATCCTCTCGACGACGACGACGACGACGACGACGACGACGACGACGACAAAACGTTGACGTCTTTTGTTAACGTTATTCAATCAAATTTTTCTACAAGTTGCGTCCCGAGGACACGTAGATCGTAAGTAAAAGAATTCGTCCTAGATCTATCACGGAAGTGCTATGCGGATAGATTAGAAACTCTCGTTCGATCTAGATCCGTATAGAATCGGAGGAAAGTATAAGAGAGACGGCAACCGGTAATTAAATCTACGCGCGTTCTTTTGCGCCTGCGTAAAACGCGTAGTCAATCACTTTTCGTAACTTTCTTTTTTCATTTTCCTTCCTTCCTATTATTGTTCTTAAATTATGCATGCACTCGCGCGCTTATGCTTTTTCTATATCAACGTTATCCCCATATTTCCGCATATTTTATAACCGATAAAAATGATATAAATTTCGTCTAACGTCGAAACTTTTAGAAAGAGTAAATTTAGACAGTTTAGTAAATTACTTTCCCGTAATTTTATCGTGTAACTATCGCAACGAACTTTTCCAATATAGTATCTACTTTCTCATATTCTAGCCTCGCTTGTACAATATGAAATTGTAATCATTCCTAATCTCTTTCTTTCTCAACTCTATTATATAAAGGAGACACGTATGCTTGACACGTGCGCGCGTTTCGACGGGGATCGAAAGGGCCTTTCGATCGGACGTGCATTAGACTTCCAAATACTTGAGAACATATATTTGCCGTCGTACGGTTCAAACAAGATTCTTGTAGGATCTTTCGTTTTTTGTCGTTTACGCCCGTTTGCGTAATCACCGATGCTTGTCTTCCGCTTCATACATACCTTAAGAATCTTTTCGCGACTCTAGACAGACTTTTACTCCGAACTCGGTGCTAATCAAGTGACACGCGTAAAATCAACCGCGTACCTATATAGATACTCGTCCCTCCGATTTCTTACAATTTTTTACGCTCTTCGTTGCCTTTTTGCCTTTTACCAACTAACTTATTACGTAAAATCTTCCATTAACTTTTTAACGGCGAACGGCGCGATAAAGATGATCCGTCGGATTAAGGGAAAAAATGCGCATTGCTAAGCTAAAGAGAAATATTTCTTTTAAGCGTCGTAAAGAAAAGAATTTTCGTCGTACGAAATCCGATCGAAATTCACCTCGTAAAAGCTATAAATATCGTCTATTTGCGATTAGCCTCTAGTACCGTACTTTCCAATTGAAAACGTTTCCTGTTAAAGAAGGATGGCTGGGATTCGAACAAATATGATCGCGACGAACGTTAAATGTTTACGGTTAACCTCGCGGTTATAACTTGAAACTGGGATGTTTGAACTGGCATGTTTAATAAGGAACACGTGTTTTTCTAGACTATTAACTAGACAAAATGGTTAAATACAATGTGCTTGGGAGAAATCTCGCATTCCTTTAGCCTCTCTCTCTCTCTCTCTCTCTCTTCTGATTTGTTTGTGCAAGAATATTATTGACACGGACATCATACGACCGATCAGAAATTACATGTGCATTACCGATGAATAATACTTTTTCATTTAGCTTATTAATTATGTGACCAAAAAGAAAACTCGTTCGTCTACTTAAATAGAGTTTATGACATGTTCGATTCGTGTATTTAATTACGTGTCGAATCGAACGTATACTTTGTCACGTAAAAATTATTATCAGTGGTTCCTTGCTCGAATTTTATTGAATTGTATGATATCATACTAAAGTGGTAAATCGATAAGAAATTTTAATGAACGATTAAAGCCATCGGTGCGGGTTGATGATAATAAAAAGAGTCAATTATATGACGAAAAGAAAGACGGACAAATTATAATAATAGCGCGATTTTCCATCGTAATCGAAACAATGCACAATCGAAGATCGCGTTGCGTCTAAAGATCGATGATATATTTTTATATTCTATCTATAGGTTAAAATATTTTCTTACTACGAATAATCTTTTTTGTTTCGCACGCGCTTGCCTATATACGCGAATGCGGAATTATAAATATATACATATATACATATATACGGTATATATGTACATATACATATATACATGCATTTATCGATAAATAACTATCGATAAAATAATCTTGACAGATGTATGAAAATAAATATTATGAATTAAACGTTATTATATATGCCGGACGCGGTACGAGATGAGGTGCGCCCGACTTCTCTTCTTACATTGCATCTATGTATTGATAGATTTCGACGAACGAAACGATGCAACTTTACCGTCAACTTTCACTCGCCTCGCTAAGACGCATCGTGTCAATTTCTTTTTGCGAATTACATATTACAAGGCTAGTCGAACGGTCAACTTGCCGTGGTGTATTATTTCTCTCGTCTTGTAAAAAGATTCGTTTATCGCGATAAACGAATAAAAGGACACTTTTTCTTTCGTTATATATTATTACTACCGCGCTTTTGCATCTGCGATAAATAAAAACATCTACAGATGGTATGTCTGTGGGCATATTTTCTTTCCTTTTCACTCCTCATTTTGTATTCTCCCTATCAATCGCAAGGGTCACCGATCAAACGATTTTTTCCAATCGCGAAGCTTTTCATTTTGCAGCAACGTTTCAGATGCGCAATAGCCCCGCCATAAATAGCTTCTTTGCTTTCTTTCCAATTTCATCGTGATCGATCGATCGGTACACGCTCGAACACGTTAAATTAGAAAATGCGTGAAAAAAATATTTCCATGTGAAACTTTCTAAGAGGCACTTGAAAGCTTTGCATTATGCGTTGATCCTCCACGTTGATTCAATGGACTATTGAGTTAATAGAATTGTCGGTCTAATTCTAAAGGAGCGTATGAAAAGACTCGTGCGAAAGTGATGGAAGCACGAGATCGATTAGAAATATCTAGGTTTACGGTTACGCTTTTTTACGGTTACGCATGCGGTTACGTTTGCGGTTACGTTTATGTTTACGTTTACAGACCAATTGGGAAAAGTAGAAATGGTGGAAGTGCTGTTGGAAGCGGGCGGACAGGAAGTGGCAGTCGCCGAAAGCGGTTCAAGAGCTGGCACCCCGACGGAGTATGCGCCAACCGATATGCAATCGCCCGTCGAAAACGTCGAGAAGCTTACGGCCATACAGGAGTTTTACGATGGCCAATGTATATTCGTTACCGGTGGCACGGGCTTTCTCGGAAAATTATTAATCGAGAAATTGTTGAGGGGATGTCCTGGTATTTGTTGCATTTACGTTCTGATTCGTTCGAAAAAAGGAAAGGACGTGCTTCAACGCACGGAAGAACTGATTGAAGATCCGGTGAGCCGTCTTCGATCGATCCTTCTCTTCATTCCTATCCTTGATTTCAAGTTTAAAAAAGAGAACAAAAAAATTAGTATTTAGTAGATGAAAATCTTTTCGTTGTGAATGAAATAATAAGACGTGCTTTTATCTTCAGTTATTTTCGACGCTAAGAGAGGAGCAACCAAAATTCCAACATCGCATAGTAGCGATCGAGGGCGATTGTATTTTGCCGGATCTCGGTATTTCGATGACCGACAGAGCTACAATTATACGCGAGGTCTCCATTGTCTTTCATGTCGCCGCGACCGTAAAATTCAACGAGAAAATTAAATCGGCGACGGCTATTAACGTTCGAAGCCTGAAGGATTTGTTAAACCTGTCGAAAGAAATGCCGAAACTGAAGGTACCGAATTTCTCAACTAAGGACCATCAGGAGTTTTCAACGAAGAAAGATAATTTGGATAAATATTATCATCGATATATTGCAGAGTTTCGTTCACGTATCCACTGCTTTTGCAAATTGTCTACAAAATCCGATCGAGGAGAGGTATTACGATCCACCGATAGATTCGGACAAGTTGATCGATCTGATGGATTGTTTGGATGAGAAATTGCTCGACGATATTACACCGCAGTAAGTTTTACCGCTACCATGGTCGTTTAGCCATGTTTTTTGATTTAAACGGAGACATTTCTTTTCCCTTTTTAGATTACTTGGAATATGGCCAAATACATACGTTTATACGAAATCGGTTGCCGAGAACGTAGTAAAAAAGCAAGCCGGCTCGATACCGATTGGAATATTTCGTCCAGGAGTTGGTTGGTATTATTCTTATAGAATAGTTATCCTTATAAAACTAAAAAATAAATAATGTATTATCGATTAATGAAAAATAATATTCCCAGTGATATCCACCTATCGGGAGCCCATTCCAGGATGGATTGATAATATGTATGGACCGATAGGAATCGTAGCGGGTGCTGGAATGGGACTGATACGATCTCATCATTGCGATGGATCGCTAAAGGTTAACTTGGTACCCGGAGATTTGACGATCAATGCGCTAATCGCTAGTGCCTGGGACATTGCCAATAATAAAAGGTATCATCTTTTACTTGGAGAAAATTTTCGCGGTCGAATCGAATGAAGATTAGGAAGAGGAGAGAGAGAGGGAGAGAGAGAGGGAGAGAAGAAAAAAGAAAATGAGCCGAGCTTACTCTTATACATGATATTTCAGATCCAACGAAGATACTCCTATTTATAATTACATATCTAAGGATAATCCAATTACCTACGACGAACTAAAAGACATGTCTGCCAAGTACGGACTATTAATACCGACTAAAGAATCAATTTGGTATTATAGCTTTAGGAATACGAAATATCGGCCGATCCATCTCTTCTATGTCTACTTTTTGCATCTACTACCGGCTCTTATAATCGATACCGTCGCGTTGTGTATGGGCAAGCAACCAAGGTAAATCGTTTATATTATTTTCTAAATAAAATTTATTTTATAATAGAACGTAAAAAGAGACAAACAAGGAAGCAGCAAATAAAAGATGTATGCGAGCTTCATCCTTTTTGTGTTAAAGATTACTCAAAATATATAATAAAATTCACAAATTTATGGATGTACTCAGTCACTTTTCTATAACCGAATGGAAATTTACGAACAAAAGATTGAACGAACTAACTAGAAAATTAACGGCCGAAGATCGTAAGTTATTCCTTTGCGATATGAAAGAACTCGTTTGGGATACTTATTTTCAAAGCTACATCCGTGGAATAAGAATATATATTTTAAAGGATCCCATTGAAACCATTCCACAAGCTCGTATAAAATGGCAAAGGTATTTTTCCATTTCTTCTTCTCCTTTGTCTTTTTTCAAAGGATATACTGATTTTTTGAATTTTCAAGGCTTTACTGGATGCATCAGACGCTGAAACTTGTTATCGCTTCTGTCTTTCTTATTATCACATGGGCGTTACTTTCCAAAGTACTTGTAACATTCGGATACGCATAAGAAAGCCCAAGGTAGTCATATGAGAGCATAGGAGAGCTCTGATGGTCATATAAGAAAAAGGGATAATTATAATTTATGCTTTCGCCAAAGTACGAATCGAAGATTTCTCTTATTTAAGGGATCTCGTATTAATGGGGCTGAGCTGGGCTATAGGAGGAGTAAAGATACAGTTTTCGTGAATTTTCTTCGCAACATCAATATATATATATATATATATATATATATATATATATATATATCATAATTTGATTGTTTTTGTCACTTATTAAGTTACTTACTGTTTAAAGAAAATCTTTTATTTTTGTATTTTTATTCTGCAGTAATTGACGATGAACTGTTGGCATTTTCGCAACCTTGACAGTGGTAAGAAATAACGTAGATCGATCCGAAAGAATATTTCGAATGGATTCTTAATTTGTAAGACTGTCGCTATTGAAATGACTAAAATAAAAAATTTGCGACAAAGGTAAAGAAAAAAATCTAATATGTTTCAATATGGAATATAGAATATTCAATATACTGGAACAAATGTTTTCATGTTGTTTTTGTAATTTTTGCCATCAAAAAAAGGATCGAGGAAAAAGCGTTTAAAGTTTGAAATGTAAGCTTCTACGAATGTTAAGGGAATTTAATATATTTACAATTAATATAAGATGCCAGCTTCAGGATTGCGCGTGAAATGAATATCAAAGATTCGAAAATATTTTTATTTATTCGTTCGTCGCTATATTATAGATCTATAATGCGATATAAACGACGTTAGTTTAAACAAAATTCGTGCGCTCAATTAAACGGATTAAATTGACAGGCTTTTCTTCTCTTTTGTTTGAATTTTCCATTAAAAAAGTCTGGCTGCTTACTTAATCATTTAGGTGTTTCATGTTTCGCGAGCAAATTGGACAAAAACGATCAATCGAGAATAAAAAGAAGCGCTTTAAGATAAAACAAAAAATAATTAATGCATCGTACGTCGTTAATTTCTCTCTCTCTCTCTCTCTCTCTCTCTCTTTCTTTTATTTTTTGTTTCTTTTTTTGATAACGAGCCAATAGACTGAGCGTTAATGATTCATGCTCAAGATTAATGTACATTCATTCTGAACGTCAAATTATATAGTATATTAACAGGGAGTTGTAAATTTTCTTAATGCAACATATTTATGTGTATATATATATATATATTCGAGAAACAGTTCGAAATAAAAAAAGTTTGAAAAATAGACAAAAGGTTCCGCCCGTTTTTGTGTTTATACAAAATTCCTCTCAACTTTGCGAATACAACTATTGGACATCTATGTATAGCTTGCAAATAAATATATATCTTTTGCAATTTAAAGAACAAAGGGAAAATAAATGTGGAAAATGGAGAATATTAACATTAAGAAGCAATATTCGGTAGAGATCGAATTTCGTATTATTTAAGGAGTACAGGTATACGACAAGTTGACTTTGTGTTGTTATAAGTAAATTCAGACGCACTTTGCAACGAAAATAGACTTCTTGTCTGTTATTTGCCCGATAAACTACAGTAAACTACTAAATCATGCGCAGGTAATTGATAGGAATATAAAAAATAAATAGATTATGAGGAGTACTTTTTGTATTTTTCATTTAATATTTTTTAATAATATTTTTACTTCGAACGAAAGGAACTGTCAAAGAAAGAAAAAAAAAAAAATACAACAAGAAGAAAATAATCAATTAAAGTTAAGTTAGACGATTCCGTAGATTGATTACGATCATAAAAGTATCGACACGGGACATAAAAGTTAATTATTTATTGTAGGTAATATATCAAGTGAGCGCACGTCTGTGTTTACGCGTAATAATGGAATATTCTTTTTGTTTTATTGCGTCTACAAATCTCTTTCGCATTGATTCTATTAATTGTTAAAAATAATCTATACGATATTCTGCTCTTTCATCGATCTAGTTGACAAGTCTGTTTTATTTGTGATAGCACGTTTACGTATTTTATTACTACAAGCCTGTTCCACCTCATTATAAATCACGAACCTATTAATAGTCACGAATAGTCAAGAAACAGCTATATGTGAGGATAATGCAAGCGCGTAAAATTCATTCGAATTTCAAAAGAACGTGATATTTTGTGACGAGAGCAAGTTCAATATTTGACCATATCTGATGATGGTCATGCAAAAGTATAAGGAAAACCGAATGAAAAACATGTTAAAAATTTTTGTTCATTGGTTAAACACGATAGTGTCGATATTATGGTATATATAAGTTATTATGACGTAGATAAAATTTTTTTTTTTTTTTAACAAATGCTCTCATCAATGAAGCTATTCAAATGGAAATTGAATGGTCCAACGAAAATAGTGCCGGATAGATAAGAGAAAACTTTTTATGCTTTAAATCACCATCTTTCTATATTACCTATTATTATCTATGTTATTACTAAATTTAACGAAGATCGATTAGTTTTGTAATGTCTAGCTACAAAAGAGAAGGGTCCTCTGTCGCTTTGTACGTAGCTCGTTGGCAGGCATAGTGACAATTGGACTGTAAACTGGATTGATTAGAACATGATATAACTGGACATTATCACGAATGATAAATAAGTGTAAAATAACCTGTCCTTTACACATGTACATAAATATATACATAAATGATAAGTGAATCGAAACTATTACATACGAATAACTTCGTAAAAGAGAATTCGAATTTAAATTATTCAAGACTACTCTATAGCTCGATACAAAGTGGTCTTGAAGTGGACAAAAATGTCGTCGGTAAAAGTAAATAGAATCATGCGTAGGTCAAAGTGACCTTGACGTATAAATTAGTGTCTTGGTTCATTACGTAGTTATAAATGCGAATATATGAAAAGAAATTGTTGTGTATTCCATTATGTATATATATATATATATATATATATATATATATATATATATACGTGCATACATCTTGGTTTATTTGCGATATAATATCGTTTCATTAGCACAAACATGAATAATAAGAAAGAAACATAAATAACAAAATTATCTTTCGCAAGGAAAAAGATACATATGTACCAAATTTCCTCCTCCATTTTTGACCAATTGCATAACCAATTGACCAATTGGATATTGTAACTAGATGAATTTGTTATTTTAATTTGTTAATCACAAAACGAATATCGAAAGCATACGCTATCGTATTCCGATGCTTACGACGATCAATAAATTTGTCTTCGACTGGGTTTGCTTATTTTATATTTCATACTTTACCAGGAATTCTGATAATGGATTTTGTTTGACCGTTCATCGGTCAAAAACTAAGATAAAGAAGAAAGCCTGATTTATCTAACAGGTGTATCTATTGGTAATTATACATTTTGCAAACTAAATATCATACTATTCGGATATTCGAATTTTTTATCTTTTACAGTTTCGATTTCTTATCTTTTATTCATAATGACGAATATCTCCTTATTCAAATTTATCAATTAAAGAGAATAAATTTAAATAAAATCAAAATAAGAAAGAAATAGAATATTTTTATTTTATTAATATTTGGAGTCATATACATTATGATGATAATGATCGTAGATCATAATTAAATTAATTCAGTAAATTAAATTCTAATAAGTTTTATATAAATTTATATTTATTAAAGATAGTACTAATAAAACATTTGGTGGCTCCCCAGTCAGAATACGATATATGAAGTATTCGATTGTGTGAAAAAACTACAAAACGATAAATATATTTATTATCTAACGTTTTTAAAAATATTTATATGCGAACGTTTGTCGTCTCTTGCATCACTTGCACTCATGTGCCCTTTACAGATACTCAATTGGAAATGAACAGGGCAATTTGAATGTCCGAAGAGACAAATTCAGGATCGCGGGGATATTAATAAAATTGATATTGAAGAAAAGGATGTGTTAGAAATAGAATGTTGCTTGAGCGAATTAAATTATAAGCATAATATATGCTGGCTGTTGTGCCGGCGATAAGTTGGAAAAAAGCTTACGAGGGTTGTTTGTATCTTCAAAACGAATGGGTTGTTGTGTGCCTCTTATCTATTAAATATATATATATATATGTTTGCGTTACGATGTGACATTAGAAGTTTAATAGTTTCACAATGGTCTTTATAAAGGCGCACGTTCAAGATAATGGTATTGAATGAAACGGTGCCGAAAATATGGACATTGTTATTGAAAACGGTCTCTATTGACAAAAATCCATTCAATATGTTTAATTCGTTATTCCTAGCGAATTCTTTTTAATTAATTTCCATTAATTAAGTCCTTGATCTTGAAGAATAAATTGTATAATATTAGTATTTTTGTTCGAACGGTAAACTTTATAATATCTAAATATGCAGTTCATGTTGCTAATTGTTCGTTAAGTCAAGTTTCAACTGGTGTCATAAAGCTGATCCAAAAGGTCGATAGAGAAAGTTACAACTTATGAAATATCGGTTTTAGACCTCGAAAGTTTTGATAGTAAATCTAAACTGGTGCCGAAATTTGTTAATTTTTTTCAGATTGTTTCTTTTTCTTTTTTTTTCTTTTCTTTTTACATTGACAAATGTAAATGAATGATTTAAAAGTAACGCTCTTTACTTACGATGAATTGGAACTCACGATAGAAAATAGTTAAATACGCGTCGGACGGGCAATTAAAAAAATGCATTAATTTCGAGACATTTGGAATTGTATTTTTATTATATTTTTTTTTTTATAACGAATTACTCGTGCAAACTACGCCGTGATAATTTTTTCGAATTGGATACTGTGCCATTAAGAATGTTTATGCTTGCTCAGCTTGTTCAGTTTCTTACATACCAACGACATAAATCGCAAGTCTCGGTTTGTTTCATCGTTCAAGATACTTCGCTCGTACGTACTTAGGTATATAATTTGACGTCGGTAAGACAAGCTTTTCCGTTTTCAGCAAACTCATCCTATCGCGTAAGAAAATGTATACTTGTGCATTGTTACTGCGCACGTATTTGAAATGTGAGAATAAATGGAAAAATTGGATAACAATATAAAGAAGATGAGGAAAAGAAGCAAATCGCTAAAAGAAGCCTTTTAATTATCATTCGCCTTTGAAATATCATTCGAGTTATCAAAATTCAAGGTTTCGTGCTTTAACTCGTTGACTAAAATAAAAAAGCGAAAAGTCTTGAAGAGATGAAGTCATACATGACTTTTGTGAAGTTACGGCGAGTAAGTACGAAAGAAAGTATACGCGGGTGAGGTGGGGAGAAGAGAGAGACAGAGAGAGAGAGAGAGAGAGAGAGAGAGAGAGAGAGAGAGAAGGAAAGGAAAGGGAAGCCTGAAAGCTCGAAAGTGGGAACACGCGGTGTTGAGATTAATGAGATCAAAAGTCGATAGAGTCGATTTTAGTCTTTCATTGGAGAAGGCGTATGAAAAGAGAAGATTAAGAAGAAAAAAAATATATATTCGGGGAATAAGCGTAAAATCACATATCGACGTTCAGTATTCTTCGAAACTTGGTACCGTTCTCGTATCCGCCTCTGCTACCTTTCCTCAATATCATTGGACTTGAATCAGGACAAGGAATCGTATCAAGTTAGTAATTTTTAATTCTATACGATTCTTTCTCTTTCTCTTTCTTTTTTCTCGTATCTTTGGTCAAAGAAAGGCTCTTTTCGATTAATTTTTACCAAATAAACGGCGTAGAAATAAGAAGAAAGAATAAAAGTGCTTTTAAAGTACATTGACGAGAAAGATGACGCGTTGTACATTCTTCGAACGAGAAAGTATTACACGCGGACAAGCTGCGTCCATTTTCCTCGCTCGTCACGTTGTTTTCTTTTTCGCTTTAAGGTCGTGCGTGTTTCATTGTGATCAAACGAAGGTTAACGGTCGGCCATCTTCATCTCATAAATCTCTGTGGGATAGCAAAACTACGAAATTCTTTTAAATCTTTACTTTTCGTATCTGGATATGTCATTTAAATCTTGATACGCAACATCAAAGAAAAATCAAGTTATTTAAATTTGCCTGTCGCAAATAAGTCTGCTCGAAAAGAATAGGGAAAAGTAGTGCGACATGCTGAAAATCTAAATAAAATTGTTCGGACGATTAGAGGACGAGTTGGGTCACCGAATCGGCAAATGAGTGGAACGAAGGTAGAATAGAGGTACTCCTTACGACATACGTCGTACGATGTTAGTAACACTTTCACGACGCATTGCGATTCATAAGTCGCACGTAGAGCGTAAGTCGGTCGAATTTTCAATCGATGTCTTGACCGATTCAGAAAATCGTCGATCCTTGCATAATATTCGTGCAGATGCATTTTAACACATAATCGCTCGGATGATTTTTTAATTATTCTCTTTTTCTTTTCTATAACGTTCTATAACATTTTGTTGTTTTTTTTTTTTTTTTTTTTTTTTTTTTTCTTTTACTTATCCGTGGTTAAAAATGTCTAGAGTTTGGTCGAGAGAGGTAGAAGTATAACCGTTAGTTTCGTTTCTGAATAACGGTGATGCTCATAACTGTACATAGAATCTCATTGAACGTGTCGGATACGGCAAGCAAAGGCTTCTTTGAGAGCTCTCAGAGCTAGTTTTCCATGCGCCCTTGACACGGAGACCAACATTTCAATCGATTGCGCAGCAAGATTGCGATCTTACGCGATCAACGTAATTCTCATTTTTTTTTTTTTTTTTTTTTTTTTTCCAAGAGAAAAGCCAGAAAATGAGAATAAGAAGAAAGAAGACAAATGCTCTTCGCGAATCGTTAAGATCATTGTATAAAGATTCCGCGTTAATGGCAACTAAGGTCAAAGAAAAAAATCTTCGTCGATAGAGAAGAGTCTTGAGAAAAAATATCAAGACATTCGAAACATAAAAACCTATGTGCATTCGAAACATAAATTCAATAACTCATACGGCTAATTTCATCCCGATAAAAAATTTACATAGATAGGCGTGATATAACCTTAATTTTTATTCATTACCCTAATAGCGCTAATGTATTCAACGTTGAAAAAGGTAGGGAAAAAATTGCATCATTAATTTTTTTTCCTCGATCTTCAACTTCTTCTGAGGCTCTTGAAATATTCACGCGTAAATTTAAATATAATCAATGTCAAAGTATAATATAACGTCATATCTTAAGGCGAAGAGATTTTATACACATTTTACGTGTTTCATTTTGATTGTCATTTTTCTTCTTTTTCTTTTTTCTTTTTTATTCATATAGAAGAAAAAAAAAAGAAAAAAATGGAACTGTCCGATTTGGGAGAGACAAATAACAATGATATCTCGGATCTCAAGTTCGATGAAAAGAAAATTCGGCGCGGGACACCGATACAAGAATTTTACGCTGGACAAAGGATTTTAATAACGGGTATCGCTTTGACGAAAATAAATAAGAATATCCGAACGAAACTATCGTATTTTGTCATTTGTTTTTTTTTTTATTTTTCCTTTTTATTATATCCTTTCTTTTCTTCAGGTGGTACAGGCTTTTTAGGGAAAATCTTGATAGAGAAACTTTTGCAAAGTTGCCCTAACGTTGCTCGTCTTTACTTGCTGATGCGACCAAAAAAGGGAAAAAATACGCAAGCTCGGATAGAAGAACTCTTCCAGGATCGTGTAAGTGCCGATCGAACGAGCTCATTCTTTAAATCTTCTTTGGGACGATAAAAAGGTATGTCTAAAGATTGATTTGAAAATGTATTTCAGGTTTTTGATCGAATAAAGAGAGAGGTACCAAAGTATCGCGATAAGATCGTCGTCATATGCGGAGATTGTAGCGTCGAGGAATTAGGAATTTCGGCCGAAGATCGTAGGACGCTCATAAACGAGGTGAACGTCTTGGAGAAGAAATCTTTCGTTTATTGTAATATGTGGAACGACGAAGCCTGAAAACCGTTATTCTTATTTCACTACTATTTTATTTGATATTGTTAGGTGTCGATAGTCTTTCACGTGGCAGCAACGGTCCGATTCAACGAGAAACTGAAGCTCGCAACTATAATAAACGTTTGTAGTACCAATGATCTATTGGAATTGTGCAAATCTATGCCGAACCTGAAGGTAACATTCGTTATATTTATCATTTTTTGTTTTTCTATTTTTTACACGTATCGCGCGTTTTCTCTTTTGACAAATATTCGCTAACTCTACGTAGCGCGCTTTCACGCATTATCTCTGCGCGTTTTTCTTTTTCAAAAATATTATTATTTGAGCCCATCGTTCAGTATGTACTATGTAACTACTTAGTCATACCCTCGTCGACGCTTCAACGTTCAAACTTGAGAGGAACAAACTGAATGCAAATGAGGAACAAACCAATGGCAAATATTATTCGCTGTTTTTTCCCCCTTTTTTTTTCTTCTTCCTCTTTTTCTTTTTCTCCTTTATTCTTCTTCTTCTTCTTCTTCTTCTTTTTTTCCCCCTTTCAAGAACCTTCCATCCGCTTGATCCAGCGCGAAGACAACGTGCGCTCGCATCTAGTCGAGGATAAAACGAAAAGATATTTTCCAGGCATTGGTTCACGTATCGACGGCCTACGCGAATTGCTTTGAAAAACGAATCGAAGAACGCTTTTACAATTATTCCATTAATCACGAGGAACTCATGAGATTAACGAACGAATTGTCGGAAGAAGAACTCGGGAATAAGTTTCAGTGGTAAGATATATATATATATATATATATATATATGTATTACGTAACTATGGTAGATATATTTATGTGCTGACAATTACATCGCGGTATTTTAATGTGTTGTTTTCTATCGCGTTCGCAGCATCAAGAAAATATGGCCGAACACGTACACATTCACAAAAGCTATGGCGGAAAATCTTATAAGAGAGAAACACGGGAATCTACCGATAGGAATAATTCGACCTGCTATAGGTAAATAAATATACCTATTACTTATTTTTGTTTGGTAAAGGAACAACATTTTGAAAAATGTTGTCACCCCTTGTTGCCATATTTTGTTTTTCCATATTTTGTTTTTCCTCTTCCAAAGGAGGTACCCTTTTGTTTTCTAAAATGGCAGAGTTAAAAATCTGAAACACGAAAAAAAAAGAAAAGATCAATAAATAATCGCGGAAAAAATGTGCTTGGCGATCGGCATGTACCTCGTAACCGGGACTGTCTCCTTATTGTGGCAAATCACAATGGCCATCGGTATTTTTCTTCTTACGCTTCTCGGCAGAAGTATCCTTTTCATATGCGCCCTTATTTATACGGTCGGCCATCCTAAGAAACAAAACGTTTGTTATACCGTGCCTTTCGAAACCATGTATCCCGAAGATTATCCCGATTTCGAGGAGGACCTGGCCACTATGAGTAGAATGTCGCTCGAATCTTTAACGCCGATGAGAACTCCAAAATCGATGTCGTCCACTCCTCTGAGACGGGCCTTTCGAAAAACTCGATATAAATACAGATCACGAATGAAATACCGAGATAATCGATGTCTATAAATTTCTTCGGTACGGATTCATTACTATACACATTCAATGTCCGAAAGGGAGATCTTTTTCCCCCAAGAAAATAAGGATATAATAATAGAATCTAATTGCCCAAGGTCTTTCGTTGATTAAATTTCAAGAACGAATGTGTCCATTGATCTCGCAGTCATATCGACGGCTAATGAACCTACAGAAGGATGGCTTGACAACATTTATGGACCAAACGGAATTGCCGTTGCCGTTACAACCGGTATTTTAAGGGTGATGCAGTGCGATGCCAATAGTATCGCCGATATAATACCCGTCGATATCACCATAAATACCTTGATCGTATCCGCATGGGACATTTATATGCAAACAAATAGGTAATGTCCATCAATCTTATTTCCTTTTATTACGCGTTACTTTTAATAATGACTTTTTCCTTTCCGTAAAGAAAAGGAAATGACGTGCTCATATATAACGTCGTAGCATCGGTGGATGCACCTCTAACATGGTACGAGTATAATAAATGGACTTACCCTTACATTGCTCACTATCCACCGAGCTCTATGTATTGGTATCCAAGCATCATAACCACCAAATATAAGTCGCTCTACAAATTCTTGTCTATATTCCTTCACTTAATACCAGCGATTCTTATAGATACAGCGTTAGTCTGCGTCGGCCAGAAACCAAGGTATACCAAATCATCTTAATTAAGCGTACTCAATTGTATCGAAGTCGATCTCGTCAAGAATGTCATTCTAATGATTTACAGGATGCGAAAAATAATAGGAAAAATTACCAACTTTTGCGATGTCATATCGTTCTTCAGCACTGGAAATTGGATATTTATCAACGACAACGTACAAAACATGTGGCATAGATTAAATTCGAAGGATCAACAACTTTTTAGATTTAATATGACAAATTTTGATTGGAAGATTTATTTCCGAAATTATATTAAAGGAATACGCCTTTATATATTCAAGGAAGATCCAGATAATTTAGAGAACAGTAAATTGAGATGGAAAAGGTAAATCTACTATTACGTTACTACGATCTATTACGTTGCAAGATCACGTTTAAAGACATTTATTAATCTTCTTTTCTTCTCTTTTTCCCTTTAATCAATATAGAGATCTCCAATTAAACTAATTCATCTTTTTTTTTTATGTTATAGATTGTACTGGATGCATCAAGTTTTGAAAACATTCATCATTTTAGGCAGCACTTGGACGATTTGGAAAATATTTAATAAAATATTTTCTTAACTCGAGCACGCAGGTGCATCGATTGTGTGCGTCTTTTCACATGGTCAAGAATAATGGGCGCAATTTAGGATTTATAATTTCCCATACAAATATTTCTTTTAAAAAATGCCAAAGCAAAAATACACAAACACAAATAAAAACTATATATATCATAATTATTAAAAATCCTTTGATCTTATGATCTTTAACACTCTATCTTGACCACTCGCAATTATTGTCCAATAGCGGGGAAATAAATCATATCTATTCATATCACTCTGGTAATACGTAGAAATTTTGTAAATATACAAACGTATTTATAAAAATCTGTCAAAATACAACTGTTTAATGTGTAATACATACTTTAAGATATTATTTTGATATCGTCATCGGCACTCTAATACTAACTACTTGTACACTTCAATACGATGCTCTCTCTCTGTGTAAACATATGTATGTATGTATGTATGTATGTATGTATGTATGTATGTATGTATATAGATATATCATATATATTTGGACGGAATTGAGCTTCTCGAGTGAGAATGTGAATGCACGAAAGGTGCATTCGGTCAAAAGCATACGACTTCTCTCTTTCCATTAATAATACGACACCGATATCAATTGACCGGCATTGTCGACACCGTGCTATGCGGTGTTGTAGGTCTAGAACCAGCGATAGAATGTGTCGTCGATGCGTTTAGAGATTGCATAGTACCGATCTAAAACAAATTAGTAGAGACATTTGTCATTCAATTTTTGGTTTATAAATGATCGGCCCGCGATCATTTATAATTATATTGCGTCAATTATAAAAATATTAAATTATTCTTACCCTCAAGTGCGCTAAATCTTCTAATCTAGTGAGGTCGCTTAGTTCGATATACAGGGAATATACGATTAACCATCCGTAGACGGAAAATGAAATAAATAATATCCACAATAAACATATCATGATATTGTATGCAAATATCAAATCGTTGACGATACTAAAGAAGAGGAAAGCAAAGAGACGGAATATGGTAAATGCGGCGAAACTGTACAACCATGGTATCATTCTCTTTTCGTATTCCTTACGTAATGCAGTAATAAGCATCAATGAAGTAATAAAAACAACTACTCCGCCCATCATGGAGAATAATGCAAAAACTATAAGAGCATTACGAACTGAAATCAAAGGAGCTTGTTAATATTTCATGAATATTTATAAAGATTATTATATAGTGCGACGTCAAATGGATGTAAATAATATCACTACCGTGTTGATTGCCAATATAAACAAATTCATACGATATGATGTAATATCCATAATGAGTGGAACCAGGCGTAGCTTGCGAAAGACAATAGATATCAAATATTGCGGTACATATGGTGAAAAATGACAAACACTGAGGGAAGATATTAAATTCGTTATATCAAATATAAATGTAAAATAATTAAATAGAAATTGACGTCGTCGAATAAATACCAATGAAAATACGGCTATGAGCATAGCTCCCCTTTGAATATCTAATATGTAAGCGTGCTTTAATATTGGCTTTTGATACCAAGGTATTTTAACGCTACGCACAGATCTGGAAGATCTGAGATTCGCGCTACTTCTGGACGTAACGTGGGAATATACCGAGGGCGTTCCCATACTTGGCGATCTCTTTCCATAATTCATTATTATTCCTTTATTCTCCTATAAAAGTACAAAGTGCTAGTTTACAAAATCATATCTAACAATAGCCATTTTACGTACTTATTGAATATTTCCAACTACAATGTGATTACTTACTTAGTTCAAACTTTTTCGATGATAATGTAATTAATTGTGCGTCAGAAGAAAAAACAAATGTCTGCATTTAAATCCATGCAAACCCTTCAGGACACGCCTCGCCATAAGACATGACGACTCATACGAATCGTAATGGAATGTTTATAGTCCCTGTGAATTTAGGGCGTTAGAAAATCAATAGCGACATCTAGTCTAGTTGACCAAATCGCTACTTGGTGTTATTACTACTAGTTTTTCTTTCTTCACCGTTGGCTAACCTGTAACGGCGGTTAGAACATTTGAATATCCTGCACCGTAAGAAAGGTAGATTTGAAATATCAGTTATAGAGGGACGTTTCGTCGGTGGTAAGAAGTCGCGTCCTTTTCTCTTTTTCGAGTTTTATCAAGTTTCTTTTTTTTTTGTCGAAGTGAATCAAGTTTCTCCATTATTTCTTTTAAGGAGATTTTTAAAGATCTACGTTAGAAAATATAGATCGTTCCATTACATTGTGTCCTCAGAGTTAGCCAGTTAATAAATATTGCTTGACGGTACTGCTTGCACGTTTTGCTTTTATTTCAGAAAATCGAGCAATAAAAGTGAACGATAAGATGGCCTTGATGCTCCAAAATTTAAAATTATCTTCAAACATTCCTCCAGAATATATGGAAATGGCGCAAAACACATTGTATAAAATGCAAGAGCATATTGAAGGGCGCGATCATAAGTACGACACGAAGGTTTCATAAAATTTTATTCCCAATTGATGCGGGAAAATAAAAAAGAAAATTTTGTAATTTTATTCTTTCCACTTTGCAGATATCAATGGAGCTTGAATGATTTTGAAATTGGGGCTCCTCTAGGACGTGGAAAGTTTGGCCGAGTCTATCTTGCTAGAGAAAAGACTACTCGTTATATGATTGCCTTAAAAACTCTTTACAAAATAGAATTAATAAAGGGTCGCGTTGAGAAACAAGTTATGCGGGAAATTGAGATACAGTCGCATTTACGGTAAATCGATGATGAATTTAAAACGTTTAGTTACAAATTAAACATCTTTTTCCCTTTACAGGCATCCCCACATTCTTCAATTGCTAACTTATTTCCATGACCACAAACGAATTTACTTGGTATTAGAATTTGCTGCAAGAGGAGAACTTTATAAAGAGCTAAAGCGTCAACCCGGAGAAAGATTTAACGAACATCTGTATATATTTTGGATAATATTACAACTGGCTATTATGACGAACTAGAATGATATTTTCATTTTCTCATTGGGTTTTTTTTTGTTCTTTTTTTAGCTCGGCCAAGTATACGTATCAAGTAGCCGATGCTCTGGAATATTGCCATAAAAATAATGTAATCCATAGGGATATAAAACCAGAAAATTTATTGCTTACGTATAACGGTGACGTAAAGTTAGCAGATTTTGGATGGTCGGTTCATGCACCTTCGTCAAAGTAAGTCTAAAAGATGTTCATCACTGATGTCATTTCCACGATATGTAACTTAAATATGTTATCGTAGACGAAGTACATTATGTGGAACATTGGATTATTTACCTCCGGAAATGGTGACTGGTCAAACGTACGATATATATGTCGATCATTGGTGCCTCGGGATACTTTGTTATGAGTTTCTAGTCGGCAGACCACCGTTCCTCAGCGATTCTCAACAAGAAACTTACGTTAAAATAAAGACTTTAAATATACAATGGCCAGAACAAATAACGCCCGGTGCCAAAGATCTTATTTCAAAGGTAACACATTTAATTTAAGACTAAATTGCCACCATATGAAAATTTTATTTACGTTTCTTTTCTAATAATTATCAGCTAATCAAAAGGAAAGGTTCTGAGAGAATATCACTGGCAGCTGTAAAGAAACATTTTTGGATACAAGAACATAAGGATAATCCATAATGATATTTTACAAACATTGTCTCATGTAAAGTAATATAAGTAATAATATAATGGATCGATAGTTGTCGCGTTATGTTTCATTTTGTATAAATGCATAATTATTTTTATACGTATGTATATATATATATATATATATATATATATATATATATATATATATTATTACGTCCTCTTGTATAAAATCGTAACATTTTTATACACTATTACAGATGCGATGTAACGCGCGATAAAAATTTATAAGTCCTCTCCATAAGATGGACAGAAGGAGGATTAAATTCTACAATCTTTTATGGCCAATTTAAATTGATGCCTGTAACATCTAATGCTACAATGTCTACTTCCGTTTTCAAAAGATCACATAAACTTGGCTTTGTTCGTCCAAAATCTCCATGAACGAATTCTTTGACATAAGTACCTGCTTGGGTTTTTACATCCAATACAAAAAAAGTGTTATCGTCTATGGGTGCGTTCGGTAATTCTTGCGGTTTCGCCCAACGAGCACGCATGTCGTATATGAAACGTACACGGGGAGTCAATGGACGTCTGTGAAGGACTCTGATCGGTGTTTTTTGAATTATTTTTACGTTTTTTAATTTATTTAAAGCTTCAAGGCTTGATTCGTCTTGTGGTGCTCTGCGACATACGCAAAGTGCTCGATAAAATTTTGTTTTAACATTTTCACCTTCTTTTAATTTTTTTAAATCGTCCCTAGAAACAGATCGTACAAAATGTGCAAGAGTATAGGATACACGTATATACCCAATTATCGAGATACTCACCTCGTTAGTAATTTCAAATTACTCGTTACTTTAACTTGCGTAGAACTATCATTGATGATGGTAACCAAGTTCGATAAAAGTTCAGAAGTTATCTTTGTTATTCGAGGATTTATTAATTCAACTGCAAACGGTCTGCCAGAATGTATGTTTCTTACATCAACGTCTTCTCTTCCAGAAGATAAAAATTTGATTGCTATGAAAACGGATAACGTGCATAAATATATATATATATATATACGTGGTGCGTTAGATAAAGCGCATAATCGTATATGACAATATTTTTTAAATTATTAAACTATCAAGTTACATTCGGCTTTAACGGCTTTAGCAATAGGTTCACATAATATGTCTTGCACAGATGTTTCCATTTTTTTTTCCCCATTGATGAACCAAGGCGTTTGACTGAGCTGTCGCGAAAGCTTATTATAGCGTCCTAATGAAGGAATAACACAATTAGCTCGATTATCTTTTAAAAAAATTATTAAGATAGTTAATTACCTCCTACAAAGATGCTACTGTGAGAGCACAAAACATTTCCAATATTTATAAAAGAATCTGGCTGAGCTGGTGGAAATAGATAATACTTTTCAAATATTTCATCCGTTGTACTAGACATCACAGATTCAATGTGTTTTCTACTGTATTTATTGTAATCATACTTTCTTTTCTTATCTGAACATTTGCTATGATTATTTCCCAATTTGTCTAATCTGAAAAAATATATAAATATATTTGTAGGTTAAGTATTTTAAATAATAATAATAATAATAATAATAATAATAATAATAATAATAATAATATAGACATGTTAACAATGATAACTTACAATGTACAACATTCATTTTCGTCGCAGGCATATACAAAACAAATTTCTAGTAAAAATGGAGATGGCTTCGTTAAATCTGGATGTTTTCCTATGGTATCTTCCAATCTAGGAAGTGCAATCCATTTCCATATGTCCTTAACATTAAGAGTTTTGTATTTGAGATTGGTAAAGTCTGGTTTAGCTAGATTAAACTTTTTGGCGATATAAATGTGCAATGATCTTTCTCTGAGACACAAAGATATTGGTACGGTTAAAGCACAAGTAAAGGTCGAACAATCGTAGTTTTGCTTCTTCACTTCTTCTATAATCTGGAAAAAAAGAAAAAAAATATAGACCTCGTAGGTGCGTACACATGTGTATTTATACTACACTTCTAATGCTTTGCATTGAGAAAGTAATAAACGGTAAATATTTACCATCGACTTACTCTTTCTATTACACGTTCTTCTACTTTAGGTTGAAGAATGCCTAAACATGCGATACATGGAAGGGCTTGTTCCTTGGCGTATAATTTATTTACCTCCGAATACTGTACCTAATAAATCATACGTTACGAAACTAAGTACTCATGACTCATTAATATATGAAATAAATTTGAAATAAACAACATACAAGGTTCTTCAATTCGGCAAGATCTTGATAATACTTAGCATTTCTGCATCCGGTGAAGCGTAAACAACATCTTAAACAACATCCTTCTAACCTCAATAAATCGAAGATTCTTCTTTCCTCTTCCGTTAGAATGAAACTCATTGGTAATATTCTTTTTCAATCTTATAATTAATAGCAATACTCTCAAGTATTAATATATCCTTTCGAATCTTTAAAATAGATCCCTTTTATTATTCCTTTATAGAGGATATTTTCATTTTATCATAGATGGGAAATACGATAGAAATCGATATAAATTCTATACTGATCTTTGGAAATATTTTCGATAAGAAGGTACACCTCGTAAACCATACCACACACGTCTCCAAGATATAAATAAGATCCAATAAGCTTGACTTAGGTTATGATATCTATAATGTATCTTCGAATAAGCGAAAGAAGAATATTTTTTTGCAACATATAAATTTGCATTAAATATATTTTGATTAACGCGATCCTTTTAAATCATGACGTGACAATATTCCAATGATAACCAATCGCGATAAAAGAGACGACTTATCGGCAGCCAATGAAAATAAAGAGTAAATCTCGAATGTTATTATTTTTTATTTTAAAAAGTTTCGCTTCATTTTTGTCTACTTTAGTACATCGATAAAGAAAAAAAAGAAACGTCAATGCGCCAAAGAATAGAAATATATTTCAAATATATTTCTTTGGTTTTGTTTTTACAAACAGCGAATATAGCTTCTCGTACGTGAGAACATATATCGAAATCGTCTCGAAATATAAGATTAACGATATATCATATATATAAGGAATAATTATTAATTTATTATCAATTATTAGTCATTATATCAGCTTATTCAAGATCAATTGATGTTCCTCGAAAGAAAATCTTTGTTGGTTGACAATCGATAAAAGTCGATTTGAAATAAGATTCGATACGAGAGTACCAATAGGCTATTACTTCATTCTGCTTCGTACTGTCGTTAGAGTAGATCGTTGCGCTCGGTAAGTGAACGAACATCATTACGTTTATTGCATAAGTGTCATTTAAAAAAAGTATAACTTGTTCTTTTTTATCAAACATTTCACTTCATTTCATCGTATGAGGATCGCGTTTAACCGAAATGTCGATTAATAGATCGTTTAACGCTCTATCAACGTCATGCTGAATAGAATCTTGTGTGCCGGGAATTTTCAATGGCCAATACGAAATTTCGAAAGAGATACTTTGTGTCATTTATTTTCCTCTCGTCGTGATTTATTTATAGCGTCTAGACGTTTTCAAAAAAGGCAATTTTTTCAAAGGCAAGATTTATCTTTATCACTCGTACGTGTACTTTCAAGTGGTCCTCTTAGCGTTGACCTTGCCAAGGTCAAAAGTTATTCGAAGGTGGCCTCTGACAAAGTAATATATCGTGAACATTGTGATCTCATTCCTTAGTAATTTCTCCTAATCGTAGAAAGATTGTTTTTGCAAGATATACCTGTACACACCGTAAAATGGACTTTGATATATATATATATATATCTCGATCGCACGTATAATCGTGTCATCATCTTTTTGTTTTAGATTTTCAACTTTGAATTGCGATATAATCAGCAAAATGCCTATCAAGAGTATCAAGGCACGTCAAATTTTTGACTCTCGTGGTAACCCAACTGTGGAGGTAAAAATATATTTTTAAGAAAATTCGAATGTTTGTAAAGTTCGTTCAAGATTACTATCTTATCGATTATCATTATCAATTTAAAGAAATAATGCGCGCGATTCTTAGGTCGACTTAGTCACTGAATGTGGTCTTTTCCGTGCCGCTGTACCATCTGGCGCGTCTACTGGAGTCCACGAAGCTCTAGAGCTTAGAGACAATGACAAATCAAAGTATCATGGAAAGTCTGTATGCAAAGCTGTAGATAACATTAACACTATTATCGCTCCAGAATTACTGAAGGTTTAACATTTTTTTCTTTGGCATGACTTTGCTGTCTACTATTTGTACACTTGTATACGGCCATTGACCAAATCTTGAATACTTTCATAGGCCAACCTGGAAATTACCCAACAAACAGAAATTGACAATTTCCTTCTCAAACTAGATGGAACTCCTAACAAGTCCAAACTCGGCGCCAATGCAATTTTAGGTGTTTCATTGGCAGTTTGCAAAGCGGCAGCTGCCAAGAAAGGAATTCCATTATATAAGTGCGTAGGAAACAATATTTATCGATATAAACGTTAGTCGATATCTTTCTATTCGTCGATTATATAGGTACATCGCAGAATTGGCTGGAAACAATGAAATTATCTTACCGGTTCCTGCTTTCAATGTAATCAACGGTGGATCCCATGCTGGCAATAAATTGGCCATGCAAGAATTTATGATCTTACCAACGGGTGCTTCCAGTTTCACCGAAGCTATGAAAATGGGCAGCGAAGTGTATCATCATCTCAAAGCAGGAATTAAAAAGAAGTTTGGTTTGGACGCTACTGCTGTTGGCGACGAGGGCGGTTTTGCTCCCAATATTTTGGAAAACAAAGAAGCTTTAAATTTGATCATAGATGCCATTAAGGTAAGAATTTCAAGTGGTTTGAATTCAAATCGTTTGATCATACGATCGAATCAATTGGTGTTATCATAATTCGTAGATAGCCGGATACGAAGGCAAGATAAAGATTGGTATGGATGTAGCCGCTTCTGAATTTTATAAAAACGGAAAGTACGATTTAGATTTCAAGAACGAAAAGTCCGACCCTAGCACGTATTTGGAGCCGGAAGCTCTTAAAAACCTATATTTGGAATTTGTTAAAGAATTCCCAATCGTATCGATCGAAGATCCGTTCGATCAAGATGCTTGGGATTCGTGGTCGGCCATGACAGCTGCTACTCCTATTCAAATAGTGGGCGATGATCTCACTGTGACAAATCCGACGAGGTAAGAGGAGGAGTAGGAGGAGGAGGAGGAGGAGGAGGAGGAGGAGGAGGAGGAGGAGGAGGAGGAGGAGGAGGAAGCTAAATATACTATATTCTTCTTTTTTCCTTTCTTTTTTTTCCAGAATCAAGACAGCGGTCGAGAAGAAGGCTTGCAATTGCCTTTTGTTGAAGGTCAATCAAATCGGTACGGTTACCGAATCTATCAATGCTCACAAATACGGTAAAGAAAATGGATGGGGCACCATGGTGTCCCATCGTTCCGGAGAAACGGAAGACACGTTCATTGCCGACTTGGTCGTTGGTCTGTCGACCGGTCAAATTAAAACTGGCGCACCGTGTCGTTCCGAACGTTTAGCCAAGTACAATCAAATCCTTCGTATAGAGGAAGAACTTGGACCAGCAGCCAAATTTGCCGGAGAGAAATTCCGTAATCCACATGCTTAAAAAGCCTAATGTCGTCGTCTATGTTATGCGCCTTATTACGAAGCTCATTTGTAAAGTACATTAAAGTGATAAGTTTACGTAATAACACGACGTCTTACGTATATTTTTAGAAACAGCCTCATTACGTAGATTAAACGTACTCTACCGCCGACTTTTTTCTTCTTTCGTTCAATTTTTTTGTTTTTATAACAATAAATAATCCATTTCAGTTGTAATTTAATCGATACAGCAAATATTAACGTTATATTTATGATCGTGACATATTGTTCGAAAGATAGATAAATATTATATACCGGGTTAATCCGATGGAAAACCATATTTCATTAAACAGAATAGAAAATTGTTATAATTATCCTCTAGAAGAGTTAAACGTTGTTATGAGAAACATATCTGTGCAAATGAACCGATAAATAAAAGTAATGTCTATAAAAGAGGTATCGATTCGTTTTAAACGATGGAATTTGTCAAATATTGTATTCTTGTACCCTTTCAAACATCATTAACACATTTTAATCGTATCTTTATACAACTCACTGTTATTAATAACAATTATCAAAAAATATATTATATATATATACATATATATATATATATATATATATATATGTAATATCGTAAAGGAGTATCGAAATGGATATAAATTAAAGGACGCGTTTATTTACACACGACGGGACGAAATGATGGATGATATTAAGAGTGCCTCAGGATAATTCCATCGTTCCGCCTTTGTCCTCTCGATCTGGTTATCCAAAGGAGATTACTTTGCTGGAAAAAAAGAAGGAAGAAAGAAAATGCGATGACTCGCTTATTCGTAGGTTGGACGATTACGATATCGATTATATATCCTTCGTTCTCACCTGAAAATAATCCTCGATCTCTTCTAACGTACGATTCTTCGTTTCGGGTAGTGCAACATAAACGAAAATTGCCTCTAACAAAGCGGATATACCGAAAATAGCAAAGGCACCGGTTATGCCTACCGCATTATTTATCTATGATATTCAGAATATTATTTCGATTGTTCAAAAGCTTATTAGTTATTATCGTATGGGTGTTTCAAAGAACTGAAAAATTATAAATAGAAATGGTGAAAAGCATATGTACCGTTGGAAAAGATTTGGTCCCAAGGAATAGTAAAAAGTTGAAAATAAAGAAATTGAAACCACCGGCGATACCACGAGCGTTTTGCGGTAACAATTCACCGATCATCAAGCCGGGAAGGGTAAACAAGCCTACGGTGTTGGCGCCGACGTAAACAAACAAACATATACCAAGAACATATGCCTGAAACATAAAACATAAACTGTTATATGCCTGGTATATGCGACGCAATCCTAATCTAACGATTCAAACGGACTTACATCCATATCGGATTCTTCGCTCTTTAACAAAGTATACGCAACGAGTACGAGCGAAGCCAAGCTCGTGCCTATCGCTGAAAAAATACCAAGACTTCGTCTGCCAATTTTAAGTAATAAGACGCAAGCTAGCAGACTGAAAAAGAATCTTGTCAACGCCGTTATTATTGCGGCTACATAACTATCCACACTCTTGCCACCTGTATGACAACGAGAGAAAGTGACAAACGTAATGTTCATTTATTTTTCTTCAAATAAATGTAATAGTTTCTGGTAAGCGGCGTCATAAGTACCATCGTTGTTAACTCACCGATATCTCGTACGAGATCCACCGCGTAGAATACTATTACGTACGTTCCGCTGCTTAATTGCAAAACGTTGAAGATATTAATAATGGACAACGGTTTGAGCACGTTAGGACTAACGATAATGGATAACGTCAAGGAGACTCGTTGACCGAATGACGTTCCTAATGATTTCTCCCCAATGTCGAGTTTCCCTCTTGCTTCCAATATAGCAATTTCCGTGTTCATCTAGTAGAAACAACTCGAGAGATTATTATTTCAAATATTAATAAGAAAATTAATGGGACGTTAAAAGTATTATTTTTACCCGTTCTATGTCGCCTCCTCTCAGCCACAATAGAGCGCTTCTCGCTTTTTCGATCTTTCCTTCTCTGATCAACCAAGCGGGACTTTCCGGTACGAATGAGAGGGAGATAAATGCAACGACGGGTAAAACGGT